ATAGCGGATCCTGATGGCGAGTTATTATAGCGAATCATATAATATATATGTCATATAATATATATGTCATATAGTATGAATATCGAGAGTAAAATGTTGGACAGTAGCATTGAGCGAGCGACGATTACGACCGGCGTACGCTATCTCTGTACTTGTATTCGAAGCGATTTTAATATACACGAACTGTTACAATTTTATCGCTTTAATAAACCAACAGGCATAAAAAACCACTTGAAAAATATACTTGCATCGTTGTACGATTAAGCGAAAAAAAGGCATTTTCAAGTCTAAAAACCAACGACCGAATATGCTGATCGGGACACACATTTTGCTTTCTGGTATCAAATGTGCACGTCATGGTTTAAAAATAGCCGATTTGACTGTTTTGTAATGCATCACGTAATGCATTTTATACCAGCGCACGATGTTTCATACAACGAAAGATTTGAATTGTTTTGAAAGTCGATTTGGATTTTAGATGCGGCGAAAGAAGTCGTTGGTCTATCTCGTTCTTCCTTTCCATTTCTGTCTCCTATCTCTTCTCCTTCGGTATCGTATCTGTTGGTCGATCTAAAAATTCAATCGACTTTTCGGCATGATCGAGCAAATTTAGCACGCATCGCAATGCGTAAAGCGTTCGATCGAATTTTAAATTTCTTCTCATGCTAAATACACGAGACTAAGTCTATTTTCACGAATGTTAGAGGACCTTGAAACTTCATTTTATTTTCATTCTCACTGTCCCCAATACAAGGATCGAAGGATCGAATTCGTAAAAAGCATCGATAACTTGAGTGAAATTTTCTGATCGATTTTCGATGATCTCGAACTATGCGAACAAATCTATGGCGAATGAGAATATTTCTTCTTGCTATATATATATATATATATATATGTATTTTTACATTTTAAACTTTCACGACGAGTAGTCGTCGTACTCGTGGTTCTTCTCGTTTTTATCGTTGAACAATTTCTTCCCAGATCTGCCTCGAAGAAACGATTTGGATACCGTTGCTGGTACTATTATCGCGATGATACGTTTTAGGATGACGCGATGAAGGCCGCGCTGATCCATCGAATTACCATCGATCGTGGATTTTCAAAGCAATACGGCAAGGTAACAAACGGTAAAACGAAAGAATGAGAAAGAAGAAGCAAAATGAGAAAAGCAAAGAGCGAGGAATGAAACGTAGCGTAAGGAACGAAGGTGAGTTAAAAGAGATTAGGATGAAAGATTGCTGGATTACTGGAGAAAGAGGCAACGGATGGATGAGAGAAGAAAGGTGAACCTCCCTGATTAAAGGGTCTGGCGGGGAAGGGGTGCGTGACGAAAGGGGGAACGAAGGGCTTGGGGTAGAGACGTATTAAGGTGGCTACGAGAATGGGGCAGCGGTGGAGGCGAAACTGGCAGCAAAGAGGACGAGGAGTTACAGGAGGAGAATATGGCTATGGAAAGGGAAACGGTTGTTAGTGGTGGTAATGGTGGTGGTAGCGATGGCAGTGGTGGTGG